AAGTTCAGGGAGGCAGGCTGAGGAATATCATTAGGGATAGATCAAGAGCTGAAACCTTGGTCTCTTCTCCCAGCCTGAAAATGTTTCCTCTAGAAAAGGCTACATTCTATCAGCGTCTCATTGCCTGTAACCAATTACCTATCCTCAAGGTACAGCAATCAGGTATACCAATTATGAAGGCAAGACAAAAGGCTGGATTGGTAGTTTTCGAATGTGTAACTAAAGAAAAAATTCTTAGTCTAGAATTACTATCCAACAGATGAATCCACATGGATTTAAATTTCTTTAACCATTACAAGCTAAAAGATACAAAGAAAATCTCTTTCGAATGGATAATTTCCAAAACTTAAAAGTCTGAAAATTTTTTCTAAACAGTCTTCTAAATAAAACTAAAAATTTTTAGTATAATATGAATCCCAGTGGCTGTCTCTATTGGAATGTACAGGACTTTTTCTTCTTCTTTTTCTTCATGAAAGCCTTTTCTATATTGAAATAGTTTTATGTAAGAAATGTCTCATCAAACATTACGCTGTGAGGACATCATTTCAGTGTGGAGAAAGTGATAAGTGGTACAGCTGTGGCTTTCGAAGTTTTGTGGAAATGATAATTCTGTGGCTTAAGCTCACCTTTTCCCAGGCACCCACTTCCAAGACTCCTGGATTTAGTTTCACTGACTCAGTAAGTTTACAGACCAAAGCCTGGGTCTCTGCTCTATTAAACTGCAAGCTCCCCATGCGATTCCGAGATAAGGACTCTTGAGACCCTTTCATGAGAAGGCTGGAGAGTGTGAGACTTAAAACAGCAAAACTATCTTTACTACAGGGATTTCAACAATAAAGACCTTCCTGATAGCTATGAGAGTTAATAACTAACTACCGTTATTTAAATGCAGCCTTGTTTACGTCCAGTTTTGCTCCAGGATGCTAGCTGCTTTTTATCTCTCAGCTTTCCTTAACACAGCACTTCCGGCCTGTTCTTACAGTCTTTATCACCTCTATCACCCACAGCTATTAATCCTGAAAGAGTACACACTCTGCAACTGTGTTGCTTAAACAGCATTTTTTTTAACGCTGTTATCACATTAAAAAATAGCAGTCAGCCCAAGATAAATCAAGTTCTTAATTACTCAGTTGCTTAACATACAGTCTATATATTAGAAATCACTTCAGGCAGAGAAATCACTTCAGGTCTACACCAGTAGACCTAAAATGCCTTTCAGAGTTTTAGCATATATATTAATTTCATAGATTTTTCTGCTCTCTCTCTTTACTCATCTCCCTGTGTTTCCTTACCTTGACAATTCTCTTTGCATTTGGTAAAGGATAATTTTCAAAAAAATTAAATCATGACTCTTACACAGATATAAAAATAAAAGCTAAACCTGTTTTGAAGATTTTATTTAATGTTCAACCTTACTAATGAGGGGGCTTCCCTGGTGGCTTGGCTGGTAAAGAATCTTCCTGCAATGCAGGAGACCTAGATTCGATCCCTGGGTTTGGAAGATTGCTTGGAGATGGGAACAGCTCCCCACTCCAATATTCTGGCCTGGAGAATTCCATGGATGTGTAGTCCATAGGGTCGCAAAGAGTTGGACACAACTGAGCGACTTTCACTTTCACTTTACTAATGAGGAAACTGGTAAGATGTAATAGCCAGTTGTAAGAAGTTTCAAAGAACGGACATATCTCTACATCAGAAATAATGAAAGAACTGTACCAGTGGAGGCAAAACCAGCTGCTTTCACAGCAGAGGAACCCAGACAGCCTCTAGCAGGTAGAATTTGCCGGCCTGTAGACAGGAATTATTTGTTGTAAAGAAACAATGGCTTGCTTGCTAAGCAAAACAAATAACAACTACAACAAAAAAGTAAGTCTGTGTTAAAGGATAATTTAATATAAATATGTCTTATAAGTTAGAGATAGTGGACTTCTCTGGAGAAATTCAAAGCTTATCTCCTCCAGATTTGCTTGCCTGCCTTCTAAGAGTGATAAACACCCAAGGACTTGCCCGCCTTCTCCTTGGAGGAGATTTGTTGCATTCCAGAGTCCTCTCTCACTCTTAGGAGGGATGGAGGTGTGCCAGCCATCCTCTGTAAGCTCCAAGTCTCATATTTTGGGGGTCCCTCTCTCATGGTGCAACTCTAGTGGGCACATAGAAGGCAAGATAACTTGCTAGCTTGCAAGTGGGAGGTCTCATACCCTTCACAGTTTCAGCCTTAGCATTATTTTGCAGTTGCATCAGATGTCTACTATTTCCAAAGTTTGAAAGCAGCTAAAAGGCAGTGAAAGTCTCAGAGCCACCAGAGAATCACACAGATCACCTGGAAGACTGTGCTCTAGTCTGGGCATTGCTTTGGTTCTATTCGCTCATTCATTTATCCCTTCAGTAACGAGTATCTTTTTCTGCAGGTTGTGCCCAGCCACACAGTAGAGGTGCTATGGTTAGCAAATTAGAATCTATTGTTCTTCTAGTAGAGCTTACAGACCAGTGGGAAAAACCAATTTAATAAATCATAAAACACTGAATTACGCGTAATGAAGTCTTTGTCTTTTATAGTTGTAATTTCTAAACAGGTATTTGTAGAAACATTGGATACCATGATCATGTTCAAAAGAACAGTATAACAGTTTGCAGAGATTCCTCTGTTAGTAAAACACGTGAGAACTGGAGCCTGGGTGTTGGGCCCTCATGTCCATCGCCCAGAATCCACTGTGATGCTTTTATTGTCTCTCCTTTGCCCTGGACATCTCAATTACTGATAAGTGCAGCATCTGCATAGCTTCATCTTTGCAGCACTTTTTATTGAAAGTGAACTCACTTGCAGAAACTATCATAATATGGAAATTTTAGAATTTCAGAAGGAGACATTTCTCTGAGCTGCCCTTTAGCAGCCGACGTGCACTGTGGCCTTGGATTTCTTACAACACCTTAAGAGACCTTGAAAGAACACTATGTGTTCGTCATGACCCAGAGGATGCTAAATGATAGGGAAGTCCCTCTAAGGGTGACCCGAAAGACAAAGAGACAAAGGCTTCAAGCGGGTTTATTGTCCAGCTCTTTTGACAGCTACTCAGCCAGAGATGAGCTGCCTCACCCATGCCATTGATTCCCTACAGGAAAGGATGACTGGTTCTGCTGAAGAATAAAAGCAGAGCCCAGCAGAGGCTAGGTTAACAGACTTGCCCGGATAATAATCTTAAATTTCTCATAGCCAAGACTGTGTGGCTAAAAGGGTAGAATTTCAGACTTAATGTATTGCCTCCTATAGTCTCCCCCTGCCCACCTTTTTTTTTTTTTTTTCAAATTTGGAAATAGAGGCTCAGATTTCAGCTGACTTTCTTAAGAGTGCAGACCCATGCCAGATACACAAATTCAGGTCTCCTAGTGATCTTCTTGCTGTCCTGCTGTCTGGCCAACCATAATTAATTTCATTAGCTTGTATATCATGTCCTCTTTGAGGAAAACAATTTACTGATCAGGCTCTTCAGTCAGTTGAAATTCAAGGTGGAAATGAAAGCAATGGTTTTATTGCTATAAAAGGCTATGGTTTCAGAGAAAAATTATGTTCCACTCATGGAAGAGAATAAGGCTGTCAAATTTGCCTCCTGTCTCATTTATTTAACAGGCCTCTCTGTTCAAAATTCTGATGACCAGGAGAGGGGTGGGAGTGGAATTTCTTGTTTTGATTGTGTTGATCCATGTGAATGTATTCGCTAAAAACCAGGGGGCTGGGTATCTCTACCAACTGTTTTCCTCCAATTTAGACTCTTCCTCTGTAATACTGAAGAGTTATGTGACTTAACGGCACATTTATAGCAGAGTTTTGACAACTTCCAATCTGTTTCTCACCTATTAAATCAGAGGCCTTTTGATTAATGTGTTCTTAGGCCTGCGTACATCACGGTACATATAATAGGAAGTTGATTGCTGGGAAAGTTGAAAGACAGATACAATATGTCTATCTTCTGTTACAACCCTTGTAAGGTTTTTATTTCATCTAAATAATTTTGGTAATCAGTGTGATGGAAATGTTTACAGACTATCAGGTACCAGTAGTGATAGCTCTCGCACATACGCAGAGATGTTTTATTTTTCTTGTGAGTCGAGATGTTGATTCTGTGTCACGTATTCAGAAGCATGACTTGCTCTTGCACTGCATAACTGCGCAGATCACATGGTACCAGAATGGGTATTTCACATTTGATTTTAAAAGAAATAGGTGTAATTCTGGTGTAATTTCCCAACATCTGTGTCCTATGAATATGTATTGATGCGTATGTGTTTGTGTATGTGGATTAATCATATTACATATAGTTTTGTATCCTGTATTCCCCACTTAAATATTTTGTACATTTTCCCATATTATTAAAAAAAATTCTCCAAAGCTTGATTTGAAAAGGAAATAGATGTACACTCATAATTAAAAGTTGTCTGAAGGGAGATATATGGGCCATAAAAAGTTGACTTTCTTTTTGCTGGCAGCATGGATGATTTCCAAGAATGGATAAATCATTGCTTGTGTTATGTAATTTAAAATATTTTACAGATTCAAAGATGCATTTTTTCATACTTTAGCATCTCTGAATTCAGGATGTATCAACAAACAGCAATGTTTTACAGTTATAATAGGCAGCATTATTCTTTTCTTTCTTAAACAAAATTAATAACGTATCTTTAGAATATCAGATTTGATGAAAGGTACAAATTTAATAGTTTTCTTAATATTTTTACCATTAATACTTTCTGGCTGAATTATGTGAAAAAGTAGAATAAAAACACTGCAAATGCATGGCAATCATATAAACTTCAGGGAAAAGAATCATTTTACTATAATTTAAAAATTTTAAGAATCCGTTTGTGTTGATTCTACCTCTCAGAGAGGTTTGATGACTAGAAAAGTCTGACTCAGATAAAAGGTGATTTTGATTTTCTTTATTTATTTTAACTTTTGCAGACTAGTGATGGTCTCCTCTCTTTCTTCCCCCATTTCTGCATCCAAGAAACTGCGTGGACCATCCTACAGCACAATGGCTCTGACGTCACAAGAGTCCGAAATACCAGCCCAGAGCACCCCTACACTGGGCTTTTCGAGTATGTGGCCAGCATGGAGCAACTGCAGGCCACCATCAACCGCGCAGACCACTGTGAGCAGGAGCTGACCTACTACTGCAAGAAGTCACGGCTCGTCAGCAAGGCAGGTAAGCGAGCTGGGGCATCCGTCCTCCTCCCCGCAGGGCGCCCGCCTGCACCAGCTCTTGCAGGGTGTAATTCTGCCACGGTGGTGGCTGAGAGCCGCCCAGGGCCTGTGCTCCCCAAGCGCTGAGCAAGCCCGTCACAGTCGGGAAGTCACCGAGACGCTCTCTGAAGAAAAGAGCAAGGTCAGCTACCCTGAGCTTTGCCCACAGCCGTGGTTGTCTCTGGCGTCTCCTCCAGGCCTCGGTCGGAGGCCTGCACGGCACAGGCCTCCTTCTCCTACTGGGTGAATGCGCAGTGTGGAGCCCTCCTAAAGGGCAAGCGGCACGTTATTTTGTGTTTATCATGGGAAAGAGCTAATAAAAATATGACGCCGTTTTGTGAAAGGGACTCTTCCGTGTGACTCTGCCACGGACTGTTGACAAGTTACCCTCTGAGTATAACTGAAAATTAGAGCAGCCTGCTGGAAACACAGCTTTTTCCCCAGCAGCTCAAATAGGAGTCAGAAAACCGTGTTTAACCCTTTCTCTTATTCTATCTTTAATAACCAGTCTGCTCCTAAATCCCGATTCTACTCTATGTTTCCTCCCGTAGAACGTCTCATGATGTGAGACTGTCTCGAGTCCCTGCAGGTCTGCCTCTGTGTAAGCTTTAATGACCTGATACATGAAGCTATTGCAAGACCTTTCCTCCTGGCCTCTCAGCTGGCCCTCAGTCCTTATCTCCTACCCACCCAACGTAGCATCCAAAAGATTACTCTGTGAAGAAAACTAACCTTTCAGAGACACTGCTTCCATCAGGACCCTGTACCGCTTAAGCGGCTCTGATGGCCTCCTCGCTCCTCCGTCCAGCACAGACTCTTCTGTCGAGACACCTCCAAGCCTCCAGGTGGCGGGTGGGGTAACACACATAAAGTGAAATGAAGTGAGCTTCACCGGTGGCTCAGACGGCAAAGCGTCTGCCTGCAATGCAGGAGACCCGGGTTCGATCCCTGGGTTGGGAAGGTCCCCTGGAGAAGGAAATGGCAGCCCACTCCAGTACTCTCGCCTGGAGAATCCCATGGACTGAGGAGCCTGGTAGGCTACAGTCCATGGGGTCGCAGAGAGTCGGACATGACTTAGCGACTTCACTTCTCTCACCTCTTTCCAGCTCTCCAGTGCATCATGCTTACAGTGATCCTACCAGTTTAGTGTGCGACTGATGGTTTATTGCTAGTGAGTATCTATCTTGGAATCTATTTAAAAAAATAGATAAGCAAGTATGGAAGTGTAGTCTAAGAGGAAAATTGAAAGTCACTCAGTTGTGTCTGACTCTTTGTGATCCCATGAACAAAGAATACTGGAGAGGGCAACATTTTCCTCCTCCAGGGGATCTTCCCAACCCAGGAATTGAACGCAGGTCCCCGCATTGCAGGCAGATTCTTTACCAGCTGAGCCACAAGGGAGACCCTTCTAAGAGGAAAGAGAACCATAAATACAGAAGAGTAAATGAATGTGATGAAACAAAATGGAACTAAGTTGCTTGACTAGAGAAGAACGAAAAGGAAAGACAATCGTCAGAGTCACAAATGAGTCAAACTCTAAAAGAACCAGAAAACAAAATCCCCAAGAACCTTATCGAGCCGAGACCCGCACGGCGACGAGGGGGTGGCCCTGAGTGTGAAGGGGTTCCCTGCCGTCAGGGCTGGTGGTGCCGCACGTCTTGCTCTGAGGCTCCCCAGGTGTTCCAGCCAGGCTTGGGAGCCACTGGCGAAGAGGATAGTCAACTCTAGAAGGCTGTAGAACTGGGGTTGGGGGAAACCATTGAATACACAGATTTTCTTCAGGTTCATGACCCTAGAATCCATATAGAATGGATTTGAGGTGGAAAAGAGGGAACAGTTTGGATTTGGGGGTTGTAATAAGGAATGTATGGGAAAGATCAGGAAGGTGGTGTGAGACAAGTTAAATTTACAGTTTCAAATCTTGAAACTATAGCAGCACCAAGCAATAATGGTGCTGTGATTGTGGATGAATAAAGTGGAAATGTTTGTGAAACATTCCAGCAAGGTATGGGTCCTCCAGCTCAGCACACTGGAAGGGTGGTCAGCGTGAATACTCAAGCCATTTGGAATTTTATTCATAACTATAGGAGTAGAAGTGATCCACCATGATATTTTATCATTTTAATTTCAAGTTTAAAATTTTCTCATGCTTTTCTTAATTCTTTCTTATATAAATTCTTTAGGACACTTCAGTAAGACTAAAGAAATCAGAGGTATTTGGTATCTTTAAAACATTCAGTGATTTCTACTTCAGAGGGAAGATAGCAAATTTAGATGTGAAAATACTATTCAGTATTTAAGAATAATGATTTATTTTTAAAAAATCTATAACCACATAATGTTTTAAGCAGTATGTCGAAATAGATCTATTAAATGTTTCAAGTAGGTTTTGCCTTCAGCTGATGAGGTAATCATTCAGTTAAAGAGGACGAAGGCTGTTGATATTGAGCAGTTCATTAACACAAGCCTCCAACAGCCCCTTGACTTCTTGGCATAGTGCACAGGAATGTACAGTAATGCTGAGTCAGAAGTTATCTGCATGAGCACAGATCCAATGTAACAATAAGATTTTATGAGCACTGGCATTTGTAAGTAAGGGAGGAATTAGTACAAGTAAGGCTAATGGCCACAACTTGGAAGGTTTGAAAGTCAATGGAAAAATGATGGCGCACCTTTGAGGAGCCGACTGATTTGATGTCGCCTCCTTCTCTCGCCCTGACTCTCCAGTGCCTGTGATTTTTCCCCTCTAACTTGTTTTTCCCCTAAGACAGATTGCCTGCAGACCATATCTAAATGTTCCGTCTATTCGTTGCTCTAGCTTCTTGACATCATTTTAGTCTTAGCTCTGTGAAGGAGCTGGTAACTGAACATTCATCACAGAAAGAAATGCATTTGGTTGAGGGAAACTTTGTTTTTCAGTGTCGTATTTGCTTTGGGCATAAAGATCTTTCAGTGTTATTTCTGTAGTCTCTGAAGAAGTAGCCAAGCCAGTAAACAGAAGAAAAAATATACACTTTGGAATATATCTTGAATCATAGTGAGGGAGTGCCATACCATGCCTAAGCAGCGAGTTTATCTTTAGTCGATAAGGATATTGAGATAAATCACTGTCTTTACACAGCATTTTATAATGTTCTAATAGGCATTTTATGTTCTCAAATCAATTTCGTTTCTCATATGTTAATTACTGTGGATTATAATTTGATGCCTTCTTGTTTCAAAAAATTATTTTTAAGGAAATGGCATGTGTGAACTCACAATATGTTTTATTTTTTACTATTATGCCTGAATTAAATAGAAACTGCTGGTTTCTTTTCTACTCAAAGAAAAATATATCAATCATTTAAGTTTAAATAATGAATTTTTTTTAAAGCTTTCTTAAAATACCATCAGTTATGAAGTTTGGAATTTCACTACATCAAACCAGTCTTTTTTCCTTTCATTCTTTTTAATGATTTGGTAAGGAAGGGAATTATACTGGGATGGAAGGTCACGGGTTATAAAGCAGATGTCATTTTTCTCACCTTTATTTTTCAGATGGAACCCCTCTGAGCTGGTGGGTTGGAAGAACCAATGAAACACAAACTTACTGGGGAGGTTCTTTGCCTGATCCTCAAAAATGTACTTGTGGATTGGAGGGGAACTGCGTTGATTCTCAGTATTACTGCAACTGTGATGCTGACCGGAATGAATGGTGATTTTTATGATTTCCTTATGCAAAATCAAGTTTATTATTAATTTTTTTAAATGAATCCCTGCCACATATATAGGTAGGTAGATACTGAAAAACTTAGTGCAGTGAAGAAATTAGATAAAGGTATGTTTTGATGAAATGTATTACAACTAATCTGATTTCTAGATGGGAAGATCATGATCTTTTTATTTGAATTTTGTGGTAATAAAGCAAGGGTCATGCACCTTTTATTTTTGTAATATGATGAAACAGAAGCATCTGTTTCATGCTTGCTTTTCATTTTGAGTCAATTATCATTATCTTTGAAATTAAGTATAATTAAGAATTATATTCTCAAAACATAGTTACATAAATAAATTAAAATTTACATAAATTATATTTAAATAAATATATTTAGTTACTAACATATCTCTTCAGTAGTCTTGCCTATAAACCTTTAAATATGTAAGCTTAGACTTTCCCACAATTACTTAAACATGTAGCCCTTTTATTTTCTTAAAGGATGCACTATACTATGAAAAACTGATATTCTGTTTATCATATTTTAAAAAAGGAAATCTATAATATTTAGATTTTATATTGAACATGAAATGTTTTATTTATTCATTTGACATTACATTTATTCATTTGAAAAATATCAAAGACTGTGTTATATCAAAAGGCAGATTATTTTATGCCTCTAAAAGAGGCATCTGTATGGAGAAATTATTGTACTTTTATTGTTATGTGTTCAGCATGAAGAACATTGTCTCTCTTACTTAAAGTCCGGTTTCTCAAAATTTCTACTATTTTTGGAAGATACATTTTTCTTCTCGCTGCCTTCACACACACACACACACACACACACCCCCACACAAATGCCCACAGTGTATTTTAAAATGTGAATAAAAAAATTTTTTTTAATTAATCTAATCACCAATAGGCTTCCCAGGTGGCTCAGTGGTAAAGAATCTACCTGCCAATGCAGGAGGTGTGGGTTCAGTCCTAGGGTCAGGAAGATTGCCTGGAGAAGGAAATGGCAGTCCACTCCCGTATTCTTGCCTGGGAAAACCCATGGACAGAGGAGCCTGGTGGGCTGCAGTCCACGGGGTCGCACAGAGTCAGACGTGACGTAGCACCTACACAACAACATCAGTCACCAATAACTCTCCTCTCTCTGCATGGCATTTTATTCATCAAAAGTAATTTTTAAAAATAAGATTTTGAAACTTTTCATATTAAATTCTGCTTATGCTTAAGTAGCTTGTGTAGAACTAACCTAATCCCAAATAACATTTATAATCCCAGGAAAACTTATTTATTAAAAACACCTACTTGAAGCAAGGAGAGATAAGAAAGCCTTCCTCAGCCATCAATGCAAAGAAATAGAGAAAAAACAATAGAATGGGAAAGACTAGAGGTCTCTTCAAGAAAATTAGAGATACCAAGGGAATATTTCATGCAAAGATGGGTTCGATAAAGGACAGAAATGGTATGGACCTAACAGAAGCAGAAGGTATTAAGAAGAGGTGGCAAGAATACACAGAAGAACTGTACAAAAAAGATCTTCACGACCCAGATAACCACGATGGTGTGATCACTCACCTAGAGCCAGACATCCTGGAATGTGAAGTCAAGTGGGCCTTAGAAAGCATCACTACGAACAAAGCTAGTGGAGGTGATGGAATTCCAGTTGACCTATTTCAAATCCTAAAAGATGATGCTGTGAAAGTGTTGCACTCAATATGTCAGCAAATTTGGAAAACTCAGCAGTGGCCACAGGACTGGAAAAGGTCAGTTTTCATTCCAATCCCAAAGAAAGGCAATGCCAAAAATGCTCAAACTACCACACAATTGCACTAATCTCACATGCTAGTAAAGTAATGCTCAAAATTCTCCAGGCTAGGCTTCAGCAATACGTGAACTGTGAACTTCCAGGTGTTCAAGCTGGTTTTAGAAAAGGCAGAGGAACCAGAGATCAAATTGCCAACATCTGCTGGATCATCAAAAAAGCAAGAGATTTCCAGAAAAACATCTATTTCTGCTTTCTGCTTTATTGAGTATGCCAAAGCCTTTGACTGTGTGAATCACAATAAACTGTGGAAAATTCTGAAAGAGATGGGAATTCCAGGCCACCTGACCTGCCTCCTGAGAAACCTGTATGCAGGTCAGGAAGCAACAGTTAGAACTGGACATGGAACAACAGACTGGTTCCAAATAGGAAAAGGAATATGTCAAGGCTGTATATTGTCACCCTGCTTATTTAACTTCTATGTAGAGTATCTCTTGAGAAACGCTGGACTGGAAGAAGCACAAGCTGGAATCAAGATTGCTGGGAGAAATATCAATAACCTCAGATATGCAGATGACACCACCCTTATGGCAGAAAGTGAAGAATTAAAGAGCCTCTTGATGAAAGTGAAATAGGAGAGTGAAAAAGTTGGCTTAAAGCTCAACATTGAGAAGACTAAGATCATGGCACCGAGTCCCATCACTTCATGGAAAATAGATGGGGAAACAGTGGCTGACATTATTTTGGGGGTCTCCAAAATTACTGCAGATAGTGATTGTAGCCATGAAATTAAAAGACGCTTACTCCTTGGAAGGAAAGTTATGACCAACCTACACAGCATCTTAAAAAGCAGAGACATTACTTTGCCACCAAAGGTCCGTCTAGTCAAAGCTATGGTTTTTCCAGTGGTCATGTATGGATGTGAGAGTTGGACTATAAAGAAAGTAGAGTGCTGGAGAATTGATGCTTTTGAACTGTGGTGTTAGAGAGGACTCTTGAGAGTCCATTGGACTGCAAGGAGATCCAACCAGTCCATCCTAAAGGAGATTAGTCCTGGGTGTTCATTGGAGGGACTGATGTTGAAGCTGAAACTCCAATACTTTGGCTTCCTGATGTGAAGAGATGACTCATTTGAAAAGACCCTGATGCTGGGAAAGATTGAAGGCGGGCAGAGAAGGGGATGACAGAAGATGAGATGGTTGGATGTCATCACCGACTCGATGGACATGGGTTTGGGTAGACTCCGGGAGTTGGTGATGGACACAGAGGCCTGGTGTGCTGTGATTCATGGGGTCACAAAAAGTCAGACACGACTGAGTGACTGAACTGAACTTGAAGTAAGTGGAAAATAACCAAAGGTAGACAAAAACTACCATGGTTGGGAGCCTTCAACCCTTCAAAGTCAGGACTATCAGTGGATGAGATTTATGTTTAGATGCCTTTTCTTTGAAACTACTCACCAGATCATCTGCCATGGGTTGGCTAGAACTCAAAGAGGAGACTAGAGTTTGGGGGCGGGGGGGGGGGTTGCTGCAGGTATCAGAGGAAGGTTCAGAGCAACCAGAATGACTGGAAATGGATTTCTGGGCAGTTTGGAAAGGAGAAAACCATTTGGGAGGAGACCACTGTATCAGCTCCTCTAGAACCCTGACCTCTGAGCTGCACATTCACAGGGGAGGTTTCTAGGAACCAAGCAGAGAGATGCAGTTGGACCACTGATCCCGCGACATAGGGATCTCAGCAGCAAGCGCCAGAGACACCAGATTGGAAGTGCTCGTGCCCGTGGGTGACTTGGGCTTTGTAAAGCCCTAGAGATAGAGATGCACAAGGTCCAGGCCTTTATGGCAAAGACTATGTCCCCAGACTGAGCATGATTGAAAACTACCAGTGAAACTGACCCAGGCCCTCCCCGACAAAGTGACAACAAGCCTCCAGCGTTTATTGCAGTAAGGTTGTGATTTTAACTACTTGTGAAAACAAAAACCAAGCCTCTGAGAAGGACAGCAGATTCTAGAGTCTCACCCATAATATCCAGAATATTATAGCAATGGCTGCTTATTCAAAAAAAAAAAAAAGCAAACTTTGATTCAAAGTCAAGAAAATAAAAGTACCATCAGAAACAGGTCCTGGGACACTGGTCCTGATTAGCAGGCAAACATATTAAATCAACTCTTAAAAAAAATGTATGAAAAATTAAAGGTAAAAATAATCACAAAGGACCCAAGGGTATTCTAAGCAGATAAATGAGAACATTATTAAAGAAGCAAATGTACATTTTAGAATAGAAAAGTGCAACATCTGAGGTTAAATATTCATGGCATAGATTTCAACTCTTATGGGAGTTAGCAAAAGAAATCTTCAGTAAACCTGAAGACAGACCAGTAGAAATCATTCAATCTGAAGAACACAGGAAAAAAAAAAATTGAAAGAAAAATTGACAGACCCTTTGTGGCTTGTGGGAAAATATCTATGATTTAACAGGCAAGAAATTGGAGTCCCAGAACGGCAGGAAATAAAATGAGGCAAAAGTATATATCGTTTGATGAAACCATGGCTGAAAATCTCTCAAATTTGCTTAATAAACATCTCTGGAAGCAAGCCCCCGAGATGGCCCCCGATTATCCACACTGCCTGTTATTCACACCACTGTGTAATTTCCTTCTCTTGTGTGTTGCATGGACCTTGTGACTTGCTTTTAAAGAATAGCATATGATAAAATGATGAGATGTCACTTCAGAGACTGAGTTACAAAAGACCATGACTTATAACATGCTTGAAATTCACTCTCTGCATCTCCTAGCCTTCTTGTTTGATTCAGCAGCCTGCCACGTTGTGAGCTGTTGTGGACAAAGAATCGAGGGTCGCCCTCAACCAACAGCTGGTAAATACCCAAGGCTCTCAGTTCAGTGCCCAGAAGAGGTAGAATAGCCAATAGCACAGGAGTGAGCCTTCCCCACCCAAGCACTGAGTTGACTGCAATCTTTGCCAACACTTTGAGTGTAGCCTTGAGAGAGACGCTGAACCAGAGGGTCATAAAGTAGAATAGTCGCACATTATATAAAAGGTCTTAAGTCACCACTTTGTTTTAGGGGATAATTTGTTATGCTTTAGTATCAACAGATAACTAATACAACTTCAATGATGTTTTGAAAGTAGCCAGTTTGGGTGAATCTGGTGGAACACCTTCCACATAGAGAAATCAGGATGCAAATGAAGGTGACCTCCCATCAGAAGACAATGAAATGACACCTTTCATGGGGAAAGAGGAGGCAGTGTCGACCTAGACTTTTACAGAGGACAAAAATACATTTCACAAATGAAAGTAAAATAAAGTCCTGTTCAGATTAAACGAATGCAGAGAGAATTTGTTGTCAGCAGAACTGTACCGTAAGAAATAGTGATGGAAATTCTTCAGGCTAAACAGACCGTTTAAAACAGATCTTCAGGCGGGAATGAAGGGCACTGGGAATCATGAATAAGTCAGTAAATGGAAAAAGCAGTGTTTAAATTTTTCTCTTGATTAAATAAATTAAAATTCACTATTTAATTGTATTATAAAATTTGTAGCATCTGGATTTAAAATATATTGCAACCGTGGCATAAAGAACAGGTGTTTGTGTAGGGAAGGGTGTTAAAAATTATCCCATAGTAAGCTTGTGACATTTTAAGTAATACAACATAAAATCTAAGTAGACTGTGATGAATTAAGGATGCATCTTATAATCCATGAAGCAAATATTAAAATAAAATAAGCAGATATGTAGCTAAAGAGTGAAAAAATAAAATTGAATACCAAGAGAAATATGGAGTAAACCAAGAGGAGGCATGATAGAGAGAGCAGAAATACAAGATGTCCTGTGGGGGGAAAAAATAAGAAATAAATACCAAAGCGATAGATCTAAAAATGCACTATCAATCATTACATTAAATGGCAATGGGTTAACCACCTCATTTAAAAGGCACAAAATGGCCAACAGAACTTAAAACTGCCAGCTATATTCCGACTGAAAGGAACACTAAAATGCTGCCCTGTCTTTTCATCCTCAGAGGAGCAATTTGATCCTGACTCTTTATGTGTACCCATTTACTCAGAACATCTTGGCTTTGAAATGCAATAAGGACTATTGTTTACTTTCTGACTATGTTAATCAGAGTAATTTAAGGAGCTTGTTGTTGTTGTTGTTGTTACTGTCTTTCAGGACCAACGACACTGGGTTCCTTTCTTATAAAGAACATCTGCCAGTGACTAAGCTTGTGATCACAGACACTGGTCGGCCGCATTCAGAAGCAGCTTATAGGCTGGGGCCTCTGCTGTGCCGCGGAGACAGTAAGTGGTGGCGACCTGCCCTCAACATGTCTGAGGAAAGAGGTGTCACCTAAGAGCCATGTTGCTACATGATAATTAGTCAGACTTCTCTTTTGAAAATCCATAAGCAGTGTCTGAAATAATCCCCCTAGTCAGTCAACAGAGTGCCCCTATAGAATGGAAAGCCCTCGAATAAATGCCGTGACAGCAGGCCTTGTTAAGACTCCAAAGAAAGAACCCGCAAAGCATCTCTGTTTGGCTGGTTCATAAATTCATTCCCTCCTTCCTCAGTATCTACATGCCTTTATCCATATAGGAACACCTCAGTGCTGCATAACATTATTTAAGGATGTATGGTGAGTTTTCTACTGTTGGGCCTGGGGTGAAATTAGAACATCAGGAAAATCAAAGTCAGTTTAATCAAACATATTTGAACTTTCATTCTCTCTCTTTTTTTTTTCCCCCAGTTTGTGTGTGTGTTCTTACTCTAAATCAGTGGGACCTGCTCTTTTGTATATTCAATATATGAATACTCTGAACCAGAATTTTTTAATTAAAATATAGTGTCACAGAAAATACATATTTTCAGCAGAGAATGAAATGAGCATATGTGGCCATTTATAACCTCTCTGACGTCAGTTAGTTTCGAGATTGATTCATTATTTTTTTATGATTTTAGTTACTTCCAGAACTTAACATGCAAATAGAAGAAATATTTATTTACTTTAAAAGTATATCCTGAAATGAAGGTTTATTCCAGAGGCTCAACAGAGAAAGAGTTGATCTGACAATGCGTTGGATTTATGGAGATGCATAGCGGAAGTTGCTTAACTAAAAAGCAAAGATGATACTGGCCTATAAAAAGGTGTATGTACATTGTAAAAAAAAATGACCCGCCATTATACCTACCATCCCTAATCTTTATCATCTCAACTTCCTGGTCTGCCAGTAGGCCTTACACAGTCACTTGAAGATGACATAGGATATTTCATGGAGGGAAAAGTTATGTGCAAAGAGATGAGGTTGTAAACGTAGGCTGCATCCAGAGAAGTGCAATGATTTTGCGTGACAATGGAGAAATTGTTCTATTCATCACATGCACTCCTCACAGCTGGCTCTGATCTGAACGCTGTAGGGGCTCAGGCCGGCTTCCCCCACCCCACCCCCCCCCCACCCCCCCCCCCCCCCCGCCCCGGGTTACCACCTTCCCTGGGGAATTGTTCTGCTTTGACTGAGGTCACTGCCAACTCAATTCCTTAGGGGTTCTTTCTTGCAGACTTCCTGTCTTGAACACAGCATCTTTTCACTCAGAGCAGAGCTCCTCCATCCCAGGCGACTCACTCCCTTAGGGGACATTTGGCAATATCTGGAGACGTTTTTAGCTGTTGCAACTGTCGGGGGTTGAGTGCTACTGGATCCAGAGGGAGTGGCCACGAATGCTGTGAATATCCTGCAATGCACAAGACAGCCCTCCACCTCAGAGCGTATCTGGTCCATGACGTCTGTGGCATGAGGCTGAGAAACCAAGCATTCAGCTGTTACGAGAATGGGGGTACAGGGGGAGGCTCACAATATTAGAACAAGGATTAAAAATAGCGTAAGTGTTTGGAGACCTGCGGGTTAACCTCGGACATTAATGTAACAGTCACTGAGTTTTCCCTGGCCTTCCTGTCCACCATGTCTACTTTAGGGTTGGGTCTCATCCTCACATGAGTTCACAGAGCATTTTCTGCATAAAGGACCCTGTCTGAAGAGCAGCAGTGTCAGAGTAATGAATGCCCCCCATTTTCTCTGTGTGGGTAGCCTGCACCCCTGAAGGTACAAAGCCCTAGACACGTTTTTTTTTTTTTTTTTTTCCCTTTCCAAATGAGATAAACGGGGCATATGTAGGGCTTCTAGATACGGGATCATGCAAAGTGGGCCTTATAAGCAGAGGAAAGTTATGTGAAAGTTATCTTGAAGGCATCAGGGTTGGAACACTAATTAGGACTGGGATATTTTAAGACTGAGAACTGGCTTGGTTCTCATGATCCAGGAAAGTGACCTTTGAGTGTAAGACAAGGACGATAACGAAGGCTTGAACTAGGCAATGGTTGGCATGGGGCTTAGATAAGGGGCTCAATCAGGGAGGTAAATTCAACACTTGGGGTGAGGGTGGCAGAGTATGAGGATGACCTCCAGGTTTCTGACTTGAGCAAAGCTGGTGGCACCATTTATTGAGACAGTAAGAATGATTCATTGAGACACAGAATTCTTAGATTTTCTTTGAACAGAAAAATGGAAAGATGAAAAAAAAAATAGTATCTTGGTCTTATCACACAAACCAGAGATGTTGAAATTTTCATATCTAGCCATGTTTTTCTAGGAAAGAAAAAACAACCCAGAAGCCTTGAGAAAGCAGGATGAGTAAACAAAAATAAGTGAGACCCACAGGTACCAGATGCTAGCTGGCTCCTTATTCCAAGTCTTTATTTTCATTTTTTAAAATGTGGATGGGTATAAAATTTTGTGTTCCTACTAGTATTATTGTTTAATGTCAGAAGTCACAGATAACATTGTTAGACATTTTACCAAAAGCACAGAAGATATGAATGATAAAGTCCCCTTTTTAAAGTTGTTCTCCAGGTATGAAACTTCATAAATATTGTTGACCTAAAGAATTTGTGAATATGAAAATAAGTTTTTTGAAAAAAATATGTGAAAAGTAAATGGCAGAATTCAACATCCTATTTATAAAAATTAAGGAAACTAGGAACTTAAACTTCCTCAGTATTTTAAAAGACATTTGTGAAAATCTAAAAATCTGACGCTTTATCCGGAATTGTCACAGACTTAATGCTTCCTCTCTGAGATCAGGATCTAGACAAAGGTGTCTGTTCTCACCAATCCTATTCAGTGTCATACTATGGGTCCTAGCACACGTAGTAAGTAAAGAAGAGGAATTCAAGGCTTATAGATTAGAAAGGAAGAAATAATATGTCTCCATTTATAGATGACATAGTTTTCTAGGTAGAAAATTCCTAAGAATTTTTCTTAAAGTGAGTTTAGCAAGGTAATAGGATACAAGTTCAATATTCAAAAACAAATTATGTCTCTATATGCTAGTAATGAAAAATTGAAATTTTAAAAGTACCTTTTATAGCAGAATTAGAATCAATTTGCAAAAACAAAAACAGAAGAATTTCAACCATACTTCAAACTGCATACCAAAAATAATTCAAATTAATCATAAACTTAAATGTAAACCCACAAACTATAAAACTTCTCTAAGAAAATATGGAAGAAAGTCTTAGTGACTTTAGGTTAAGCAAAGATTTTTTAGATACAGCATCAAAAGCATAATCCATAAATTTTTAAATGATAAATTGAGGTTCATCATAATTAAAAACTGCTTTTAAAATGACATTGTTTAAAAAATGGGAAGAGTCACACATGGGGAAAATATGTTTGCAAAGTACATATCTGATAGAGGCTAGGATCCAGAATATGTGAAGAACTTTCTAACAGTGCAATTAAAAAAATTCAGATTAACAAATGGGCAAATGATTTGCACATACATTTTGTTAGATAAAATACACAGATTTCAAAGATGCACATAAAAAGATTTTCAATATTAGTCATTAGGGAAATGTACTACATTTAACACCAAAACAAGATACCGGTATATAGCTGTCAGAATGGCTGACATTGTAAAAATATAATAAAACAAAAAAAACTGACAATATCAACTGCTGAGAATATAGAGCAGCTGGAATTCCTCATGCATTGCTGGTGCCAAGTGCAAAATGGCACTGTCACTTTGGCAATTTTTTATAAATCTAAACACACATTTACTATAAGATCCAGCAGTCCAACTCCTAGGTATTTGCAGAAGAGAAATGAAATATCTGTATGCACAGGTTTATATTGGCTTTATGCATAGTCTTCTAAAACTGGAAACCACCCAAATGTCAGTGGTTTAATGAATAAACCAGTGGTTTAATGAATAAGCCAGTGAATAAACATTCCATTTTACTGTGGTGTATCTACGCTGTACCATGGACTATTACTAAACAGTAAAAAGAAATGCACTTCTGATACACACCAGCAACAGAGATGAATCTTCAATGCATGATACTAACAGAAGCCTGACTTAAAAGGCTATGTGCTGGATCATTTGATTTCTAAGATATTCTGGAAAAAGCAAAATCATAGGAACAGAAAAAAGATCTCTTTTGCCAATTGCTTTAAGGCAAGAGGAACTTTGCAAAAGAGAACAGGTAAAGGAGATGTTCTATATCTTGAGTGTTATGGTAACTTATGTGACTTGAAGCATTTGTCAAAATTCCTAGAGCAATTACACAGAATTACTCAGATTTATTCTATGTAAATTATCCTCAGTACATCTGACTCAAAAAAAAAAAAAAACCCTAAAAATCACAACCCACAACTGAACATTAATAATAGTACAAATAGTTACTGTTGCTTAATTTTTAAAGACTTTATTTTTAAAATAAATTTACAATGAAATGAAGAGGGAATTACAGAGATTTTTCATTTATTTCCTGTCCTCACACATGTATAACCTGTCCCATTAGCAGCATCACTCACCAAAATGGTACTTTTTTTTAAAGCAAAAATGAAGGTTGCTTAATTTTAAAGTTGGGTCATTAAAAAAATACCAATAGTTAAACTTGTAAGACATAAAAACTAGTATATATTTTAGTAAATGGGTATTCTCCAGGATACTCCTAGGATCCTACTGAATATGTTTCTGACTTTTTCTAACCTTGGAGACAGAGGATCAAAGGAGCAAACCATGGAAAAACATCTGGGTCTACAGTTAAGAGAAAGGTGATAACTAGGAGGGTTTGTGTAGGTATTTTCCTTTCTGCTTTCCCAGGAGAAGTGGGACCATCTTCATTTGTGGAGTACCATCATCAGTCTGCCCTCTGATGCCCTCTCTCAGGGCCTACCGTCTTACTTGGGTTTCTCTTACCTTGGAGGTGAGATGTCTCTTCATGGCTGCTCCAGCAAAGCGC